CCGCTATGCTTCAGTACAATACATACATCCGTACAATATTTATGAGAACTAACAGACATTGTTATCAGTGAAAATATAGGGAGTGTGATTAGAAGTAATTGTAATAAGATGTCAAGAAATAAAATATAGACTACAAGATATCTTGCCACCGGCCTGATTTGAACCAGCGACTTTCGAATAACGCAGTCGATGCTCTACCAGTTAGCTATAGTAGCGGTCATCCCTCGGTCCACATTGTACGGTATATATGTGCACTCAAACGTGGGAGCGTCCGTCAGCGCCACCGGTTGTGAAACACTTTTTACTTGCTGGCATCACATAGAACGTTTCAGGGGCGAAGCTTCTTATAGCGCCACCCGTTCGTTCCTCGTGGCCGTAGTAAAAGTGTGTACAAGTATTACATTTTGACCTCCAAGGTGGTGCCAGTGAGAGATTTTTTCTGTGCGTTGTTGAACAATAAAAGATAGTGCTCAATGTACATGTCAATGGCTGCTTAGGGAGAATGAGAGACAGGAGAATTCGGCTTTTACTTAACGTGCACGCTGTGAATTTTTTATTGGTCAACAACGCACAGAAGACCAGAAAGGTTGATTGATTGATATGTGGGGTTTAACGCCCCAAAACCACCATATGATTATGAGAGACGCCGTAGTGGAGGGTTCCGGAAATTTCGACCACCAAGATCAGAAAGGGTTGCTACGTTATACTCGCTGGGCGTAACCTCCTTGGTTTTAGAAAGGTTTAGCGAGCGTTGGGCCACAGTGGCATGAATAAAGTGGACTAGTATATACCATGAACTTGAGGTGGTTAAAGGTGGGAAGTAGACACGAAGCGCAAGCCGTAAGAAAGTATGCGTGTGCTTCCTCTCGTTCAGTCCTTAAAATGTCCGCTGGATGGCGGTGCTTCTATATGAGGAATATATGATGAAAAGATGCGAGATGGTGGTACTTCGAGTGTTGAATAGGTGGACGAACGGACACACAGACAGATGCATGGACGGACGCACGAATGGCTGCACGGACGGATGGACGCAGGAGTGGATGCATGGACGAAAGCAGGGAAGAAGGCGCAGATGAACGTGCGGACGCACGAACAGACGCACGCACGGACGGGCGGATGGACGCACGGGCGGCCAGACAGACGCACGCATGGATGGACGAAAGCAAGAACGAATGGACGGACGGATGCTTCGCCCCACTATTCATCATTCACTCCGTGGATATGCTGCCATTTTTTTACCAGCTGGCAGCTTGCCGTGAGAGCTAACAGCTCTACACCAGTGTGTTGTTTAAATAGCCTCCCTTGTCTGTGCTTACCAAGACGTCGAATTTTGATACATTCATCGGCATTCCATCATCATTCGTAGCTATGAGGGAAATACAACAGGCTGATGACGCTGCTCATTCGGTTCATAGTTGACATGGATTGATTGATATGTGGGGTTTAACGTCCCAAAACCACTATATGATTGTGAGAGACGCCGTAGTGGAGGGCTCCGGAAATTGAGACCACCTGGGGTTCTTTAACGTGCACCCAAATCTGAGCACACGGGCCTACATAGTTGACATGGATACTTTATTGTATGCGGTATGGTTATAGGTGAAATCACCCTATATTGGCACTCGAATGCATACTTACACCTGTTGCCGCGGGTAGTGACAGAATATACATGACAGTGCATGTGGTCACGGTGCACATCAGGCGGTGTGGCTTGAGCGACGGGTAGACGTCCACGAAGGTCGACACTCCTATTTCCACGAACGCCACCTGAAAGAAAATAAATGCATCAACGGTTGAGCGATCATGTTCACCGATCAGAACAAACGTACGTTGCCTGAGAATTCGGCTTGCTGGCCGCGCTTCACCGTGCCTTCTTGTGCTGTGTACAAACAGGGTCAATGAGCCAACTTCTACGTATCGCACGCTAACACTTAATTCATTCCTATTGTGCGGCCCTTTATGGAGGAGTGAAGGATCACGTAAGCGATGAGAGGGGGTAGAAGATAGAGACAAAAAATTTCTAAGGAGGCTAAAAAGATGGGGCCATCTCCCGCTAAAAGTAACCATGTGCACATGTGAAGCAGTGAGCGCTAACGCTTACACTGTCGGTGACGTTGACGCTGGCACTCTGAAGCGAAAGCTAATTAAAAACACCCTTGGCCGAATTCCGAACGCACGATCCCGTGCCTATGCATATACGGGGCGACGAGTGAACGGTTGTGCAGCGCAAGGATCCAGTCGGTTTTTTAAAAGCAGATGACCTTGCGAGGCAAGACAGAGGGAGGGACAGTTTTGCGGGTGTCACACGCAGCGAGCGGCGACAGCCTAGGGAGAGAGGGACGTCAACGCGCGCACTGCAAGAGAAGGTTTGACCTACTTGGCACCGCCCCAACACCTGCGGCCAGGGGAGCACGGTGCGGATGGAGGGACAGCGTTACATAGGCTAGTCAAAGATCTGCTTCGCATGTAAAAATCTTGGCGTGCTAATTTATTTCCTTTAGGGGGACACTAAACGCAACAGTTAAGTTGGCGCTGATTTTTGAAATAGCGGTCGAGAAACCTCGTAGTGTTACTTTTGTGACAAGGAAGGGCTTATTTCCAAATAAAATCACGTTTTAGTGGCCCGCATCTGGTTAGTGCAGTTCAAGTTACCGCCTCAAGAATCGGATTGACTCACGTCACTGTTGCTAGCCACCATACTGCTGCTATGCACAATATTACCCGGTTTTATTGCGCAGTCGCCGACACAAGTAGGGAGAACAAAAGCAATGGGAGCCAAAGCAGCAAGCACGAAGGATATACAGGTGAGGGTATGTCCAGCTGGCGCGCTACGTGAAAAGTGTGGAGGGAATGACATCATGGCGGTCATATTCACTGGGAACAATGGCGCCGTTGCTATGGTTACGTGTTGCGCAGTGTAGCTAGTCTAGCAGTGAGTGGCCGCGGCTGGCGGTGGCATGTGCGTCTCCGCTGATCTCTTGCTGAGCGGTGACGGACAATATCCGCGCTCTACACCGTGTTATTGGTTACGCAGTGTTCTCCCGGCAGCTACTGTACTCATAGCAACGTTTACTAAACCTTTCATCCACCACGGGGTCCCAACAGTGCATATAGAACAAGCGCATATCCCTGTGTCGGGTGGCAGATGGCGCGAATTTGAAGTGAGGCGAAATTTGAAGTGTTCAGTGAAATTGCGTTGGAAACCATGACAAAGCGGAACGACGACGAACGCCTTGCAGGTCAGTGACGGTTGCGCAGTGCTCCTGCTTGTGACAACGGGCGAAAGTGATGTGCCCAGCAAGACGCAATGAGGACCATGTGCACATACGTAGTTTCGTGTACGTTATGTGTACACTATAAACTTTCGTGTGCGTAATGAAACATCTTTTTCGTTCCGCTTGTTATACTCGCGCCCAGCATTGTTATCTCAGCGTTATAGCAACCGCGTTCAAATGTGACTTGCACTATGCTCAAAGTCACTGCAATTGCAGAACGCTGCCGCTGATGAGTTTCACGCGGAATACGGGCACAGTGGCCTTGCGCCGCGTCAGCCGCGTGGTTAAATGCAAGCGTAGAAGGTGCATGACCAATCGTGTTGTCTGTACAGTTGCTGAATTAATGACGTGAGAACACTCGCCGTTATCGGTGCATCTAGCGCGTGTTCTCTTGTACTTGCTTTGTTGTCGGCGAGCTCTTACTCGATGTTATTACTCGGACGAAATGATTTCGCGAAGGTGTCGCACTGGCCCAGAGGGTTGAGCCCCGTTACATTGGTTTAGGATCGCCAGGACACGCGTGCTGCGCAGCCCACGTGCTTTCCGAGCCGGAGAGAGAGTCGCGTTTTCTGCTTTACATTCGGATGTAAACAAGAAAGGATAATTTGCCCAGTCAATAAGGCCGACTTCCGGCTTCACCACGGCTTCACAACGAGTGACGTCAGGGCCTCTCCTAAGTTTTTCCTTCCTCCATGCACAACAGCAACAATGGCCATCGATTGATTTCCTGCCATTGGCTCCGAGATCTCAGACATCTCTTCGTTCAACTGTACCCCGCTAGATGGCACGACCTGTCCAGTTTACCCAGCGAAAATAGAATTTTGGAAATAATCGCGCCATTCCCCTTAATAATTTCTAGTGGTTTTTTTTTTTCATCAATCAAACAGAAATGAACAAGCAGCATTTTATTGCGTCTCTTGATGCACGGAAGGTTCATTATTTAGTGCAGCTAGATCGAGTACTAGCGATTAATTGTAGGTGGTTCGCCTGATATCATCGGCATTATTTTGAGAATGCCCTATTGCGGCGCATGTATTATTGCATATTTGCCTTAATTTCTCGGTAAGTAGGACACAGCTGTTGATAAAGTTGTCGTTTTAGATGTTTCCATACATTGAGCTTTCACTCTGACGTAAATTGTTTTTTCCCTTTATTGTTCCTTTAAAGGTACGAACACTAGCGGCGCGGCATTTTGTGGCGTGCCACTCTCGCGACTCGCGAGACGCCGCTTTTCTGTCTTCCTCCCGTGCAGAGCTGAAGTTTCTCTCGCGTTGATCGAATCGATCCTTGAAAGTAAAGTGCGTGCACACTGGCGGAAAGCATGCTGCGGTGGCATCCTACCCGTCGGAGCGTCTGCTCGGCAAGCAACAACGCACTGTTCTCATTGCCGGCACGAATAGTCATAAGATAATACGGACATGTCCAGGTGTGAGCGTACGTCGGTGTGCCATTTCCAGGCTGAGAAAGGTGACGCGGAGGATGAGAACAATACCAGGTGTCTATAAACACGCCCGTGTGAGGAGGAAAAGCAGACGCTCATTCAGGTTTACTAGCGTGAAAGCCAGCGGCAGTGGCAAAAATAGCGATGATACTGCACGGAGAAAGAAAGAAAGAAAAAAAGAAAGAAAGAAAGAAAGAAAGAAAGAAAGAAAGAAAGAAAGAAAGAAAGAAAGAAAGAAAGAAAGAAAGAAAGAAAGAAAGAAAGAAAGAAAAGGAACGCCTTGCGAGTGGTGAGCAGCATCAACAAGGAGCCGCGCATTCAGTGTGTTCTACCTTTACAAATTCTTGGCGTTATTCGTTTGCATTGCGTTTTCTACATACCGCATATATCTGATCTTAAGCGTCATACTTGACATATCCGATCGTTACCTGTTATGTGGGTTAATTTTGGCCGTTCAAAAACAAACAGGCGAACTTTAGTGCATTTGATTGATTGATAAACTTATAATTGAATGCTTCCTTAAAATGTGAGAAGCTTGAGAGTCGGACAACACGGTTGCTTTAAGAGTGGTCACATGAGCTTACCAATCCGTCGAAGGCCAGCACGCACATGAGTAGGTAGAAGGCGATGCACCACAGCTCGGGGTGGCGGAAGTGCTTGACGCTCTCCGGGAACATGACGAAGGCGTAATCATAATCTGCGACAAGATTGTACTATATACACAAGATCGAGAACAGCTCGATTACAGTTCGACTCACATCTCTTAAATTTTGTTCATGATGGGGTTACAATGTTGCAGAGCATGAGTTGCTTTATGGATATGGTTCGTGCCTTTCGTATTGTCTAGAGTCTAGTCTCAAGAGACGCTAAGGTATTCCGCACCCTTTCTTTTTTGACATGAAAGTGTTTCATGCTGGCGTCCACCACGGCTTCGCTCACGTATTTCCACGAAGATTACGACATTGTAAAGAACGCAATAACAGACAGCGAAGAAAAAAAATCGCAGCATATCCGCGGAGTGCATGATGATGAGTGGGGCGAAGAATCCGTCAGTTCGTCCGCGCTTCTGCCCGTCTGTCTGTTCGTCTGTTCGTTCGTGCGTCCGTCCGCGAATCTACCAGTTTGTGCATCCGTCCCTAGGTTCGTCCATGCGCCCGTCCGTCCTCGCGTCCGTCTGTGCGTCCGTCCGTCCGTGCATCTGTCTGCCTGTCCGTTCGTTCATGTAGTGAACACTCCAAGTACCACCATCTTGCATCTTTTTATCAAATATTCATCATATAGAAGTACCGCCATCCAGCGGACATTCCAAGTACTAAACGGGAAGTGGCACGGCGGGACTGCAGGAGCTGCACACACGCACTATTTCACGGCTTGCGCTTCGTGTCTAGTTTTCACTTTTCACCGCCGCTAGTTCATGACACTGCGGCCAAACTTTCGCTAAACCTTGCTAAAACCAAGGAGGTTACTTCCAGTGATTCTAATGGGGCAACTCTTTCTGGTCAGATGAAGTGCGTCCTCCTGTTACTAGTTTTTTTTAGTAAGCATCCAATTCAAGGCAATCTTTATTGGAAATTAAGTCACCGATACCCGTCTTTGTCGGTTATTTCATCAGAAACAACTATCTTTTTAATTATGGCTAACGCATGCGCGGGTTTCCTCAATTCAAAAGAGTGCACGCGTGCCGATCCTCTAGTCCAGCTGTGGAGGTAGCTACCTACTATACCACTACTACGATGACGACTACTACTACATACATCTTGGGACGCACTACCAATGGCTTGATGAGCTTCACCCCAGAATCTCACCCACATATACACAAAGTTAATGATGGTTGAGGAGCTTGCTCGGAGGTGCAAGTGCAAGGGGCCTTTCTTGGCAAGACCATTTCTGTATGGAGGCTGGTTAACGAGCCGGTGCAAGATGTACACGTCGAAGTCGGCGTTGTCAAGAACGTTTTGTTGCTGGCACTGGCAGTGCTGACCAGGTCAATCGGCACTTTAACCACCTACCCCTTTATAGCCGCTGCCGTGAGTCAAATGCCTAACGTTCATAAATGGCCGTCGTGGAGTCACCAGGCTCCCTTCAATAGAACTGAGAAGAGGCAGATGAGGGGGCTTGGCAGGATATCAGCACCCGTGCGTAACACTTCTCGTGGGAGCTTGTCCGTGCTGCCGTGCCTACGAAGTGACGAGGCGTATGTCGACGAAGTCGCGAGGAGGCGAGCGTGCTGGCCATCAAAAACCTGCACTATGTAGAGTACCTCGAAGTGCGCGCGAACATCCAGGCATTCTGAAACGCGAGACAGACGGTGCGATTTTTCGCGCGATGCGGGGTGCGGTGTCGGATGCGCCGGCACAGGCATGTGGTGTTTCGGGATACACGGGTACAGTGTACTAGAAGAGGGCAGTGTACTAGAAGAGGGCTGGAACGTACGCTGGAGCATTCCTTGTTGTAAGTTACCTCCAATTTTCAGGCGCGCACCCTTGAGATGAAGAGCAAGCGGCGCCCAGTCACACATTTTACCTTTTTCCGGGGCGCGCTACATTGTAAATATTGGCAGACGTCCTAGTACACACACATATCGTAAGCGCCTAGTACACACACTTGCCAGCTTGAAATACTCAAACATGGTAAGGGCCCTTTATGGTGTTCAAAGACACAGGAGAAAGTGATCCTGCACGATTACACTGGCGCCAATACGAGGCTAAAAGAGGCTTTCCGCTATTTAGTGGTCTGCCTATTTGTTCTTGTGCTGCCTTTCTCAGCCATGCCGAAAAGAAAGAAGCCCAGGAGCAGCGTGTTTATTCGGCGATGGACACTTAGCTCGCCATGCTGGGTAATAAAAGGAGAAAGCAAGCGTTGTGCAAACCGTGCGGTAAAAAGATCAATTTAGCATGAATATGCTAAACCATGACGCCTTTGTGGCATCATAAACTATGTTATTTTTTATTGGTTTAGTGACGTAGACATAGTTAGCACACATCTTTCTACAAAAGATTAAATTTTTGTAAAATATTATTGTGCTTATATTTACAATATTTCGGCCTAAAACTGTTTTGTCTGCCTATTTTTGGCGCCTAAAACGCGAATTTTAATGCTCAAGAATTCGGCCTTCAATAATGACGTCTGCCTTGGGGTAAATTCGCCCGCATGATTCAAAGGCCGTTTCGTCACAAGATGGCGAGTTCCTAACCACTTTAACCATCAGAATCAGTCGGCCAAGTGATCGAAACCTACTTATGTATCCTTACGACGTTATCAAGGGGCTTACGTGCATGCCAAACAATCGACTTAAAACCAGACGACCACACGTCCCGTCGTTCCTGCGCGACACGTTTTCCGGTCAGTTTTTGCCATTTTGGCCAAACGAGGGGCAGCTTTGACGGCTTCGCTCGGCCTGCTGGCGTATCTCGTGATGTGGGCGGTTTGTTCATCTTATGTTCTGTTCGTCTTATGCTTAAAAGGTAACTTCGCTCGCGTAGTGGCAGCGTTCGCGAAAGGAGCGTGCTGCTCACACTCAAAGAAGTAATAATTGTGGCACTTCTTATTTCGCGCGCGTCTTCCGCATACTTGTTCGTTCCTTTCGTGAGTCCTTTGAAGCAGTGCGGAGCAGAGTGCTTCAAGTGCTGACATGCGGCAGTAGTATAGTTCGCGCTCGTGCTGTGTATGTTCTGTCCACGCGTCCTTTCTGTTTGAGAAGCGCGCTTCAAGCGCGCTGCAAGTCTGTGAACTAGACCAACAATGGTGAAGAAAGAGACTGTATACGCAGAGTTTTCGATTGGCGCTTCGAGCATTACAAAGGCAGATAGGCGAAACACGCACCCGCAGTGACCAGATCTTCGAACTCCAAGCCGTACAGAACGGTTGCGTGGCCGTACAGAGCGAACACCATGCAACCGGAAAAGAAGCTGAAGCAGAAGTCTGCTCCAACCAGCTGCACGATGTTCCTGCGCCAGAAGTGGAGTGAGGAGCGAAATTCCACGACCACGGCGGGTCGCATATATTTACATACTCACATTGAGAGTGGCCACTCGAACGGCTTGTAGCTGCCGTAGCCAGTGAGCGTGCCAAGAGCCAGTCCCATGCTGAAGAGAAGCTGCTGAGAAGCAGCCCGCCACGTCTGTTTTAGTGAAAGAAGTATGAAGAATAACAGAGCTGTTTCATTGGCCCTAAAGTGCACGCAAAGAAAATTTTCCCTAGTTTTCGAGTGTATCAGCTTTTCAATACTTTTTAAAGATAACTTTCACTGCGTGCGCATGTACTGTCGTCCACACAATGTCTTTAAGTTTTCTGCCTCTCGTTTATGTGGTGAAGCAAGCGATGTTGTGATCCCTTCAACCAGAATTTGTTCGGTGCTCTGTATTATAGTAGGAAGACTGCGTTGGCAAAAGATTATTGTGCTCTTACATTCTTCAAGGGACCCTAAATCACATATGAGAAATGAAAATACTGTCGCATCCTCTCTCTGACTTTTTCAGTCATTTCATCACACAGTGTGAAGCGAACAGGATGCCGCACGAGATGCACAAACTGACGGTAGGCCCCTAAGTGAGTTGTGATGCGTCGGCAATCATGCCTTGAAAGGTTCCCAAGAAATCACTTACTAAAGTAATTACTTGGGATCCCTATTCCAGCTCATGAAGTGATCTTCCGCAGCAGCTATGGCTACGTAGCTAAGGTATTGCTGAAACGGCGACCCTGTTCTCAAGATCTGCAGGCGTACCACAATGTCTATGAGCTTGGGCCAATCCGGATACAAGTAGGCGCTCATTCCACGCAGGGAGCCACGCTGCACCACGCTGGACAGCACCAGGCTGAATAGCAGCGCGAACGACATCCATGTGGTGCCCATCGCCAGCTGAAGCCACCCGCAAATAGAGAGGACGAAAGAAAGAGAAAAAAAAATTAGGGACACCAAAGCTTCGCTGCCAGGAGTTGAATGCGATAGCGCTATTCAGTTTTTTGAGCATACTTTAAACACTCAGTGCATGAAACCTTCTCGAACTTGCTATGCACCCACTACGTAGCCTCAAGGAAACAGGCACCGTATCGTGTGTTCCTTTTTTGTAGTGAGCGACCGGCTTTAAACCACGAAGCCATTATGATAATCACATGTTCCGACACCAACTGGCAATGGGCGCTTGCACAACGCATCATTACTGAAATATATCAAGTTGCTTTGGGAAGCATGTATACACAGGACGCGTGTGTTTGTAAAGCAGGAAAGTTACTTTCAGTGCGTTTCCAAGCAGAGGAAAGTATTTTCGCTATATTCGCAAGCAGACGCGTCGCCGTGTAGTAGAACATCCCCTTGCTAAGCAGAGTACCCGGGTTCGATCACAACTGGGACCATAGATTTTTCAATTATTTATTTTACTGACATCGTTCTCGATTTCGCTGTCAAACATAAGATGGTGATCTTTCTCACATCCAACGACGCCGACACCGGCATTTCTGCGAAACGGACTCTTTAACGTTATCGTGTTAAAAACAGAGACCTCGGCTAACACGAGGTGGAGTTACACGAGGTAGGGAATGCTTTCTTAAGATTGGCAAAAATGGGCAAAAAACTGCAGGAAAAGTTAGAAGGCTCGCATGTGGTCAAAGTATTCAGATACGTGGATGATTTCTTGGTTCTTCTAAATTGTAATTCTTCTATGTTCCACTCGTTTGCGACTCAAACGATAGGTGTGTTCGAAGATTGTTTAAAGCCTCTTGTGTTGACACATGAAATGCCCGAGAATGACAAGTTACGCTTTTTGGATTTAAGACTGGTTTTCAGCTCACAGCACATCTGTTAGTGTTTTGAACCACGTGCGCAGAAACCTCTACTTTCTTTTTCTTCCGCTCAAAGCAAGTTAGTTAAGCGAGACATAGCACGAACCTGTCTTGAGAATGCCTTAAATAGGTCGTGCGCCCACAATATCTCTGCGAGCTTCAAAGCTCAAGTTTCCCGGCTTAAGGCTTCGGGTTTCCACGAGGCGTTTATCGCTTGCGTTGCTGAGACTATCCTGCGGACTAATAGGGCAGAACAGTGGCAGCGACAGAATCCGAGCAACACGGATACAGAACGTGAAAGGATAGCCGTGATTCCATACAAACACCAGATATCACACAGGCTCAAGAAAACCGGAAAGCGTGTTGGAGTTCGTGTCCTGTTCTCGGCACCGTTCAAATTAATGAGCCTCAGCAAATCTACAAACCCCCTGAAAACGCAGTCATCAACAGAATGCAGACTTCAGCATAGAAACAGGTATGCGGCCTGCTCCCGGGAAGTTGTCTATAAGACCCTCTTTTCATGCGGTGCTTGTTATGTCGGAATGACCGGAAGGTGTCTGAATGATCGGCTGAGAGAACACACTAACAATGTTAGAAGCGGGAAAGATGGTTTTCTTGCTCAGCACTGCACTGAGTGCAAATGTGTGCACATTTTCAAGGACACAGCGACGCTGTACAAGCACAGAGATGAGCGCACCCGAGTCATTGGCGAGGCCGCGCAGATGGCACGCTAACAGGTGCCTTGTATTAGCAAGCCCTCCGTGGCTCTGTCCGAGAAGGAACTCAGGTTCCTCGAAAGTTTCGGTGCGCGCAAGTAGTTATATTATCTTGACTTTTCTGTTTCGTTTTCTTATAATTTTTTTTGCCGTTTTTTGTGCTTTTGTTTTTTGTCTTTGTTTTTCTCTTACTCATGTTCTCCTCTTTGTGCCATATGGCTTTTATCACATGGTTACTGTCTCTTCTATATATTTTCATGCTCTGCGCAATAAACTGAGTTGGAAGTTAGCGCTCGTATCTTTCGTGTCCTTCTTGTCTCTGTGTCGTCGTTTTGTTCTCGCGCTATAACTATCGTCATGCTACAGTGACCTTTCAAACAATATCTTCCCTGCCTCCACTTCCATACGTCCCGACTTGCAGGTTGCATTCTTGAGGCACTGGCGGCTTGCTTTCCACTCGTTGAAGTCCTCGCTGTCTGGCTTAAGGCCCTTTTTGCAGCCCAAACGAAAATTAGAAAGTACTTGGTAATCAATCACATACCCAGTGAAAAGTTGTACAGCAGTACCAACACCAATGTGAGAAAAATGGTATCTCGTTAGCCAAGTACTATCATAGCGAACGCTAATGTTTCCTTTGTTCTCAAAGCATAAATCTTCATACAATTTGCTCACTTATTTCGCGCACTGTGTCATGACTGCTTCAGCAGCTCAAGTGGCTGCAGGCTCCAGCATTTTTTATTGTGATAGCAATTACATGGGTACTCTCGGCTGGATTTCGCCGCCGGCGTCAACGTCATGCTCCGTATATATATATATATATATATATATATATATATATATATATATATATATATATATATATATATATATATATATATATATATATATATATATATATATATATATATATATATATATATATGAATATACAAGAAAGAAAGTAATCCAGAAAAAGACTCCGGTGTGCGGAATCTAACGTAGGTAGGGCCTTCGCGTCCTGAATGCGAGGCGTTAATTACTGAGCCACCGAGAGGTTCCTCCTCCTACGTTCAAGGGGCAAGCTATTCATATCTACAGCTTACCACTGATAGCGGGCATTTGGGGGAGAACTATCACGTTTGCAGCATTATCAGCAAGATTGCGCAGTGAGCGCGCTGCGGCTCTCATCTCTCACGCGTACTTTGGCCCGCGGAGAGGCGGAGTGGACGATCTCTCGCGCGCGCTTCTCTGCCGGTGGTGAGGATCATACGCCTTTGTTGGCGTTGGGCTTGAGCTGGAACGATTTTGTTGTAGTTACGGGGCGCACAAAGGTCACTGCAATTGTTGCACATCCTCCGTTAGCGAAAAGGACGCGCTCTTCAGACACAGCGAAGGAACAACTGAGACGCTTATTCGCGTCAAATAAATTTAGCAGGCCACTTAACGGGCCCAACGCACGCTAACCATCACATCACTAACCCTTACCTTTAGCTTTCAATGAAAAGTTACAGACCTAAAAAATGATCATTCTTGTATCATTTTGTGAAAGACAATGCAGAGGATGTGATGGATCTACTGTAATAGATAAGAAGATCTTTAAAACATAGAAATGCTGTGGTAGGCTGCAATATGCCCTGCCAATTTCATCGAGTTAGCCTTCCTGCAATCTAGTACTGAGCACGAAACTCAGTTCTGAGTCTTCTTTATTTCTTCGAGTGTTTTTCGCAGTCACACAACACTCTCCTTGGTCACATTTGTGTATTTTTGTGAAACAAAGGGAAGGCGCTTATCCGATCACCATCTATTGCCAAAGACACACCTTTGCGTAGCCTCGAACGCCTTTCAAGATGCTGAGTAACTCGGCAAGGCAACATAGGCTGATGATCAGCAGCATGTCTGGATGCAGGTCACCGATCTCTTCGATGCCGGAGCTGAGGCGCAGCACTTTCTTTCTGCAAACGGTAAGGATCCAACGTAAAGCAGTGTGACCGCACCCATTGGGGAAACTTGATCTAGGTAATCCGGCTTCAATGAAAAGAGACGCCGTAAGAGTGTCAGAAACTCTTTCTTTACTGTTTTGCAAAAGTGGATCAAGTGTACTGTACAGTTCAACAAGCTTTTATTGGATCGTATACGATAGTAGTGGTTGCGCTTGGCGATCAACAACCATCAATCTTTTATCTAATCAGCCCGATATACCATATCAAGCGATAGTCAAGCCGTTGAAAATGCGCGCAATTCGAACTAGGGTGGCTATTCAGCTAACTCAGAAGTGTTCTTGAACTTCTCTTTATCTTATAAGGAATGCTATCTTAAGATTGACTTATTCTAAACTATCATGGCCGAATGATTGTCCCTTAAGCACACACTGAAAAAAACTCACCTGTGTGGCATGCAAAAAACTCTTAGACGGTATACTAAGAGAAAGGCAACTTTCAAACCACCACGCGCTAAAATAAACGAAGTCTCTTCTGGTACACACGTGTGGGCGCCACAGCAATACGCGAGGACGTGAGGAGCTCTTTTTTTTTTCAAAATGGGCCAAATCTAAACCAAAACTAGATCAAATAAGAGTATTTTGACGCATACATACTTTCAACTTTCCTCTAAAACTAGTAACAGATTATAATTATTGTTATTAATTATTAGTAATGTTTTCAAAGAAAATTGGGGTATGTATGTTCTAATAGAGCCTTTTTTAAGCTAATTTCAGTTTTAGATTTGGCCCATTTCAAAAAAAGAAAGCTGATCAAGTAATCATGGTCATCACTCACAGCAGGAACTGCTCAGTGGAGGTTTGCGTGCCGTTGACGCAGGCGCTGTGCATGGAATCGTATTCGCTGCCGGAAACAATCACGGTGCCACCGCCTTCCGAGCTCGTGTGGATCACCAGGGCGTCCTTGCCGGTGTAGTTATGCGACGAATATTTGCGCGCCAGGGTGACATTGACGCGGAAACAGGGCACCTGCGTATTCGAGATAAACACAAGAAGATCACCTAAAATAGAATCTAACGGAGGAAGGAGCCTAACTACGTCCACTATAGAGGGCAAAGGCCTCTAGTGTTTTAGCCCGGTCCTGTGCTTGCTGTGTCTCCGAGATGAGCCGGCGGCGCACCACCGGTAATCTCGGACGCCATGATCTGCCCATCTAACTTTCTTAACCCCCGTGCGATTGCTTTTTTTTTGGAATCCTGTTCGTTGCTCCTAATGACCAGCGGTTACCTTACTTACGGGCTACATGCCCTTCTGATGCCAATTTTTTCTTGATTTCGACCAAAATATTCTTTAACATACGTTCTTGCCCGACTTCCCCTTCGCTCTTGTTGCCCCTGAAAGTTACACCTATTGTAGAAAACAGATTTGAAGATGGAGCTCGGAGGCGAGGAAGAAGAAGCAGCCAGGGTCACGCTCTGCACATTTTTTTTTGTTCTGTCAACAATAAACCGAAGACGTATCGGTTATGCGGTCTCTCTGGTCCTTCTGAAACATGGTGCCGTGACCAGGAGTGATCTGAAGACAGACGCAGAGACTTCAACCCCATTCGCAACAACGGGTTGAAAGAACGAAGCAGTGGCGTCTGGCTCAAGGACTAACCGTCGAGAGAAGGACCACGACCGACGACTGTTGGCGACGCACATAAAAAAGGCAAGAGCTCTTTCAACACGTTTTAGGCATGAATAAAGAGGTCCTATCGAAGAAGCGGAAGACGCTTCGAGCAAATGTGACGACGCTTACGAGCGAAATCGATAAGAAGATAGAAGAAGACGCCGATCGAGCGCAACTTATGACGCTTCTAAACCAGATGAAGAGCGTGTCACAGACGCTAAGACAAGTTAACGAACAGATAGAACCGTTCATTGAAGAAGACAGCGCGGAGGCAGAATTTGAAAGAGTTTTGCATTATGAGATGAAGATCGTCGCTGCAACGACAAAAATTGAGGAGCGATTACGCGAGTTAGAACAAGCGACGCAACTGACTACGAGAATAGTCACAGAACAGGCGAGTTCAGTGCAAGGTACTGACCAAATCTCGGAGACGCAAGAGCTTGTTAAGTTGCCACGCCTTGAAATGATCAAGTTTGATGGGAAAAAAACAGCATGGCCAAGGTTTTGGCATCAGTTCGAGACATCGGTGCATAACAGAGTGAATATGCCGAAGAATCAAAAATTTAATTATCTTCTGGCGTCTCTGAGCGGGCAGGCTGCTTCCCTCATAGAAGGCTTGCAGTTTTCTGATCAGAATTACGAGCATGCAGTCGCTCTTTTGAAAGAAACTTTCGGACGAGAAGATAATTTAAAAGAGAACTACATAAAAGAGCTTGCGAATTTGGAAGCAGTGAAGAGTCCTAAAGATGTAGATGGGTTGAAGAAACTCTTCCAAAAGTTGCAAGTGAACACACGAGCACTGCAGTCGTTAGGAGTGGAAATGGATAGTTACGCCACAGTGATAGCTCCTGTTGTAAAATCTGCGCTACCGGTGGATATGAGGATTGAGATGAAGATGAAGGAGTTAAGGAAAGGTGACAACAGACCAGCAACTACGGAATCGAACTCAGCGTCAAGAAACAGCACGAGCAGTTTGAAAGAAATTATGGAGTTTTTAAACATATATATACGCAGCAGAGAAGAAACTCGAGAGGAAAAATACGACGTGACCCAGTCACCGCACAGTATGAGGCGGACTAGAACATCTACGCTTCAAAGCACCTCGATGAAAAAATGCATCTTTTGTGAGATGACTGGACACTACACGGAAGATTGCAGAAGAAGCATTAGTATGCAACAAAAGAAAGAAGCCTTGCAACAGGAACGAAGGTGCTTCAGATGCACCAGACCTCACCACACGGCGAAGATATGCCGTGCTAACGTACGCTGCAAAACATGCAAGGGAAGGCACGCGACATCCATGTGTCGACCACGTACGTCTGCAGGAAAGTGAACACAGCAGCAAAGCGGGGATGTTGAGCAAGTGCTTAAAAGCGCGCAACCTGACCGGTTAGACACCAGCAAGTCCTGCAACATGCACGCACAGCAGTCTGATGAACAGAAGTGCATACTACTGCAGACAGCCTTTTCGTGGACGGAGGGAGAAGGCAGCGGGTGCTACGCACGGATTCTGCTGGACAACGGGAGTCAGAGGACATTCATCCTCAAAAGCTTGTCAAGAAAACTAGCGTGCAAGGTAAAAAGATCCGAAAGGATTACTGTAGGATCATTTGGAGGAGGAGAGATGGAACTAGACATGAAAGTCGTCGAGGTCAGCGTGAGGAAGGATACCATCTCGGAGCCAGTCACGATTGAGGCACTGGAGATAGAAGTTATATCCTGTGACGTGCTACCATCGCCACCATTGACAATACACGAAAGAGCAAGATCGATGGGAATTCGTTTGGCTGATGACAACCAGAAGAAGGACAAAGAAAGAAAAAATATGGAAATTTCTATATTAATTGGAGCAGATTATTACTGGACTGTCGTCACTGGTCGCATTTGCGAGATTCATCCAAAAGTAATGGCAATAGAAACAATATTGGGATGGACGGTCCAAGGTCCTGTAGGACTTCATTGTGTGCCGCTGAAATCATCGACGGTTATGGTACTCAAGGTCAGTGCCAAGTCGGACACGACTGCGGACCAACTGCAGAGATTCTGGGACTTGGAAAACATGGGCATCAAGGAGAACCCAGCAACAAAGATGAACGATGAACATGTGCTAGACTACGTCCGACAAACAATGGAGTTCAAGGCAGGAAGATACCAAGTGCGGCTACCATGGAAGGAAAACGTGACATTGGACGACAACACCACCATTGATGAGAAGAGGCTTATGCAGGTGACCAAAAAATTATGCAAGGATAAAGATGAACTCCTAGCCTATGACAAAGCTATTCGAGAGTACTTTGAGCAAGAAATAGCAGAAAACGTCGAAGAAGATGCTGGATCCGATATACAGAACAAATTTGTATACTACATGCCGCATCAAGCAGTAATCAAGAAAGACCGAACAACGACAAAAATACGGATCGTCTTTGACGCATCGTCAAGCCAGAATCCAGGTGAATCCTTAAATGACAACTTGGAAAAGGGGCCAAACCTAAACCCCGACATCACAAGCTTGCTGATGAACTTTCGACATCACAAGATCGCTATGTCAGCCGACGTGGAAAAAGCATTCCTGCAGATCAAGATACATGAAAATGACCGAGACGCACTGCGATTCATATGGTGGGAAAGAATACCCAGCGAAGATATGCCAACCCCGAAGATAAAAACGTGGAGGATGACGAGGGTTACTTTCGGAACTACACCAAGTAGCTTCCTTCTAGCGGCCACGATTCATCAACATTTGGATAAATTCGAAGAAAAATATCCTGCAGTTGTGGCGCAACTCCGGAAAGGAATCTACGTCGATGACGTTTTACTAGGAGCCGACGAATACTCGACATCGACAAAGATATACAAAAAAGCACGAGATATTTTTCGCTATGCGGGAATGAATTTAAGAAAATGGATTTCAAATGACGCCGAGCTAAGAAAACACTTTGATGAAGAAGGAGAGGATCTGGATCGAGGGATAAGAAAAGAGGGACAAATCAAGATTTTGGGACTGAAATGGAATTTCGTAGACGACGTGTTGAGCTTTCCCGACACTACATGGCGAAATGACAAGGACACGAGACAACGATCAAAAAGACAGGTTTTGCAGGACACGGCAAAGCTATATGACCCTTTAGGTTTTTTGACACCATTTTCAGTCAGAGCAAAAATATTGCTGCAAAAAATTTGGATGGATAAACTGAAATGGGATGACCCGTTACCAAGCCAGCATAGATCAACTTGGAAGGACTGGTCGGAGGAGCTTCAGCACTTAGATGACTTCACCGTTAACAGATGCTATGACAACAGACAAGCTGAAGTGAAAGCATCGACTCTGCACGTGTTCTCCGATGCGAGTCCAATGGCATATGGAGCAGTAGCATACATTGTAACAGAATACTCCGATGGAAGCAATGAAGCAAATTTAATCATTGCAAAGGGTAGAGTCGCTCCAATCAAAAAGATCACACTAGCAAGATTGGAGTTGTTGGCGGCCACAATATCAGTCAGATTGGCCAGTCATATAACCGAGAATTTCATCAGGAAACTGAGGAATGTGAAATTCTGGACTGACTCTCAAATTGTGTTATGCTGGATAAAGTCAAACAAGACGAAAGATGTGTTTGTTCGCAACCGCGCAGCAGAAGTTAAGAGCAAGTCCAATGAGAGTCAATGGGGTTATGTTAAAAGTGATGAAAATCCTGCGGATTTTATGACAAGGGGGATGAAGATGAAACGTTTGCTGGACAGTGAATTATGGTGGAAAGGCTCCACGTGGATCAAGAATGAAAAACAAAGCCCTGATTATGACATCACGCATGAATCGGACAGTGATGACAACAAAGACGAAGAAAAGACAGTGGCATGCTTAACTACCACCACGAGTGAAGAAAAGATAATTGATGTGAGCAGATTTGGATCATACAAGAAAGCGTTACGAGTTACCGCGTGGGTGATGCGTTATATAGGAAACCGACGAAAAGAAAGGAAAACAGGTTCGCTGACAGGAGAAGAATTGGATAAGGCAGAGTTTGTGCTGATAAAGCAGGAGCAGAAAACGCTACAAAATGCAGTGACACGAATATATGACAACATGAATCTGTACGGCACGAACATCTTCGAAGATGATCAAGGTGTCCTGAGAGTAAAAGGGAGGCTTCAGTGGCGTGATTTGAGCTTCGATGAGAAGCATCCTATTATTTTACCAAGAGAAAGTCACTTTTCAGAACTCCTAGTTCTAAACGCGCATCAAGTAACAATGCACGGTGGCGTTGCGGCAACATTGACACATCTAAGAACGAAGTTTTGGATTCTGCGTGCCCGACAAATGGTGAAATATGTGATAAAGAAATGCATCACATGTAGGAGATTCAATTCTAGACCAATGGCACAAGAAACTCCACCTCTACCAGCTGACAGGATTACACAGACGAGGCCATTCGACACTGTTGGTATAGACTTTGCTGGACCGCTAAATGCTCGAGAGGAGAAAGGCGGAAAAGTTACAAAGTTTTACATTGTGATATTTACGTGTGCAGTAACAAGAGCCATACAACTGGAGTTGGTCAAGAGGATGTCATCAGAAGCGTTTATACAAGCATTCCGAAGATTCGTAGCTAGAAGAGGATTGTGTACAACTATTTACAGTGATAATGCAAGAGCATTCAAAAAATCTGAGAAAGAGATGAACAAGATATTAAAGATGGAAGATGAAAGGGTTCAACAGTATACCAGTAACCTGAAAATAAAATGGAAGTTTATTGTAGAGTTAGCTCCATGGTGGGGAGGATTTTATGAAAGACTGATCAGAAGCTTTAAGACATCCATGGCAAAAACTATAGGTGCTCGACTTTTGGATGAAGAAGAACTACGGACTGTGGTTGTTGAAGCAGAAGGAGTACTTAACAACCGGCCTCTCACTTATGTGTATGACGATCCTAACGAGCCACAACCCATCACACCGGCGGACGTTATAGGAGGCAGGCAAGCAATGAACAAGCAGGAAGAAAACAGACTCGGAGAATACAGTTTGCTGAATTACTGGAGTGCAAGAAAACAGGCTATGATAACATGGTGGACCAGATGGAAAAAGGAGTACCTGAGGGAGCTTAAGTGTGCCAGCAGAAAAACAGAGCGTCACGCAAATGTACAAGAAGGAGATGTACTTCTGCTTGGAGAAGCGCGAAAAAGAACTCGGTGGAAACTCTGCAAGATCGAAAAGATTTTTCCAGGCAAGGATGGACTAGTGAGAACATGCTTGCTTCGTACACCTGAAGGAAAATTAGTCAAGAGGCCGATTCAACTGTTGTATTCTCTCGAAGGTTGCTTCGGTTGAATCTGGCCGGCGGGAAGATGTAGAAAACAGATTTGAAGATGGAGCTCGGAGGCGAGGAAGAAGAAGCAGCCAGGGTCACGCTCTGCACATTTTTTTTTTGTTCTGTCAACAATAAACCGAAGACGTATCGGTTATGCGGTCTCTCTGGTCCTTCTGAAACACCTATTATTTTCCTTTTCATTTCTTTGTTCGTGGTGCTCCCTTTAAGTTGGACCCAATTTGTAAGGTCCAGGTTTCACAGTTAGCTAATTCATTTGATAGACATGTGGAGTTTAACGTCCCGAAACCACCATATGATTATGAGAAACACCATAGTGGAGGGCTCCGGGAATTTCAACCTCCTGCGGTTCTTTAACGTGCTCCCATATCTGAGCACACGGGCTTACAGATGCTGCATTTTCGCCTTCACTGAAAATGCAACCCACAGTTAACTAATGTATTCGCAATCAGCTCCTATCCTTAAAGGACCCTTAACACCAAAAGCGCTCGTCTGTGTTCTGCGTGTCTCCATTTGTCTTCGTCTAAATTGCGCTGAAGACTATCCACTAGCATCAAATTTGCAAGCGCGATATGTGTGTTTTGATAGTCCGTAATGTGAGGCCACATCTGAGCGATTATTAGTGACGAGCGTTGACTTCAAGATAATTTTAATTTCGTTTTAAAATAGTAATGTGTGCTCATCCGAGTATTCAGGTCCAATCGAAAATTTTTGTGGTTCTACTTGGAGAGGGGTCTCCTCTTGACGTTTCAGAGGTTAAGCAAGTATTGTTGGCGTCGGAGAACATTTTATAACTTCATTATATGTTATCTTTCTGTTCCTTGATCCTTAGTTTAAAAAGCCAATGTCACTTGCCTTATCTCATACCTCTTTGTGTATATATGTCTGACGTGCTTTTACCACATGGTCTTATTTAAGTGTGTGAAAACCTTTTGTTTGATGTTTCTACTTTTGTTGTTTCACCTTGACGTACCTCTTTTAAAGAAATTATGTAGTTTTTGCCTTATTTTGTGCTGCAGTTTCTTTTGTACACATGCCAGTGTTATTTTTTTGCTGAGTAGGTGATTTCTCTGCCTTTATTTGCTTTGTTTGTGTCCTTTTGCCCTTCCTGCTTGGCCCCTGTTTGGGCCTGCAGTATTTTATAAATAAATTTAAAAAAATTTACGGGGCGTGCACAATACCCCGACAGACACCCGGCAAGGACTTATTGTTCGTCACCCCTCTTGCACTATTGTTAGCTGCTCTCAAGGTGGGTTTGGCTGCTTAGGCGAGGAATGTTTTTCTTTTCTTTTTTCTGAGAGTGACACACTCAAAGCATCCACATCGTTTCATCATTCACCGTGCGTGGGTTCCCCTATTTGAAAACAGCGTTTTCAGCGTCACTGAAGCTTGAGCGCGCATAGTGTAAGACGCATAGGCCCCACTGTGGGGCGCTACTTTCTTCTGGTATTCAGGCAGGCGTTTCGAACTGATGTAAAATCGTTCTGAATTAACGATGCTAGCGTTCAATATGCGATGCGTTAGAGTATTTATAATTCAGTTTCAGCCTTTACAGACCCAAAGGTACAATTAACTGTAAAAAAGAAGCAAACAATACTTTCTCTGTCAAGATTTCTTTAAGTGTTTCCAATACAAACCTGTGGAAGTCCTCTCTAAGCACTGCAAATATCATATCACCCTGCTACACACTTTCATTGGTGGAAATTTGTGGCTCTTTTCACGGAGTACTATGGTGCCCGTAGCAGCACTGTATATTGCTTCATGTATTCTTCAAGGTGAAAACCATGGGCCGACTTCTATCAAGATAGGGCACGTGCCTCGCCGCTCGGAGGAAGTTCTTGCCGGAGCTACGCAAATTGCACTCCGGCAACGCCACGGGTTTTGGGCGCGCTTCCCCTCCCACACTTTCACCCGCACATGAACATACGACGCGAGGTGATGCTATCGTCCTTGTACTTTGCACGGAACATCTCAGGGAGCACGACGGCTAAAGTGCGCCTTGATTGCCCATACAATCGAACAATAAGCAGCAGCTGCGTCACCAAACTCAGTGAAATACAGCAACCAGGGCACTCACATTCCTGTAGTCTTTTTCGTAGCAGCTGCCGTCGTTCCAGCTGTTCTTGCACGCGTTCCACGGAAGCGTTGACGAGAAAGAATAGAAAAGGTAGAAAGCGCCGTGGACAACGTTCGCTACACAGTTCAAGCACGAGGCTAAGTTGACGTACAGCATGGTCCAGCCGATACCTGGACGATGGAACAGCAGAACAAGAAAGATGAACCGATGTACTATAGTTGGTATATGAAAAGCAGAAGCAAAGATTAAAAAAAAACGGCACATTATGCGACAAGCATGGAACATTTGTTTCTAAAGCACTAAATAAGCATGGTGAAAATATCGAGGCTGCTCAGACGAAAGCTGCTTAAATGTATTCAGTAGACATCAGGTTTTCTCGTCACAGAGTTCATAAAAAAAAAACAGCATCTAGACTCCGAACGCTATTGACGCCATGTGCATTACCTCAAGCATTGTTAAACTTCTTTTGATTTCGTTCATGACTTATGACATTTGTTTATGGAAAGATATTCTTCATTATTGTATTATTATATATTCATTATTACATTATTATATTCATCATTATTAGCTTGGCAGCAGAGCTCTTGGTCTTCGCAGCACCTATATTTGTTCATTTGCGCAGAGCAACTGGGCAATGCTGTGCACCGAAGCCGGCATCCGACATCGACCTGACCGAAAAGATACGCCTACCCTCAGCTGTCCACGTGGTATACACGGGAATCTGCAATATCTCGGCCGGGCTTGGATCAAGATCCGCTGTTGAGGCTCCGCGCCTGCGCGGGGTCTCGTCAGCGACGTCATCCGAAAAAACTACAAAAGCGGGCTTTCCTGTGTCGCCCCCCCCCCCCCCCCCCCCCCCCCCCAGTTTGGCAGCAGCGCTCTTGGTCTTCGCAGCACTTATATTTGTTCATTTACGCAGGTGAGCAAAACCTCTCCTATAGTGTTTTCTCGGTAGACCTTTGCGATGCTGCCGGGCTGTAGGTCTGTGTTTGTATATTTGAAGCTGACTGTTTTCATCATGACAAAAAAGATGACGAGAGCTTTCGATGATTTTCACCGTGAAATGCAAGCCGAACTAAGAGATATATGCGAAAGTGTAAAATTTTGTAGCGAAATCTGTGATAACGTTAAGCAATTGTCAGATTAAATCAAGTTGCTCCGTGAAGGGCTGCAACATGCTAGACAAAAAAATGACCAACTTAAAACAGAAAACAAGAAATTGCAACGTAAGGTTGATGAGCTCGAGCAGTACACTCATGTGAATAACTTGGAAATTAAAGGTGCCCCTAGTGATGAAGACCCAACGGAAATTGTAAAGAAGCTTGGCGATGCCATTGGGGAAGAAATCTTGCCATCAGACATAGACACGTGTCATAGAATACCTGTTGGCAGATCTGGAGACAAGAGCGTAATCGTTCGTTTCGTCCGACGTGACAAAAGGAACGCTGTCTTAACTAAAGCATGAAAGAAAAGGCCGCCTGTTAAGGGTATGGGTTTCAAATCAAATGAACCCTTATATGTGAATGAAAACTTAACCAAACACGCGAGGCAGCTGCTCGGCTTAGCAGTTGCTAAGAGGCGAGAAGCAAAATGGAAGTTTATGTGGACAAACGGTGGCAAGGTGTTTGCGCGCAAAACAGAGTCGTCTGAGATTCTTAAGATTGTTGAGCCTGCAGATGTCACAAAAATGACAATGTAGACTACCCAACCAAGCCTTATACTAACGAGACTTCGAAATGAATCTTGTCAACAGCCAGTACTATGACATAAGCGGTTTCAACAAGCTGGTTAATCAAAGCTCGCACACTTTCAGTGTCCTGCATCTAAACGCTCGAAGTATCAAGAACAAAAAAGTAGATCTTGATGCGTTTCTCGACTCTTTAGCAATAAAAGTTTGATGCCTTAACATTTTCCGAAACTTGTTAAACACCGAATAGTGTCCCGCCAAGATTTGCTGGTTATACTTACAGTGGCTTAGTACTTCATTCCAGTCGAGGCGGAGGCATCGCTGTATACGTCAACGAACAACTAAATAAAGAAATAATTGATGATCTCTCGTACATTTCACTGTGCATTGAATGTCTTGTAGTCAAAGTTATTAACGTGATTGTTGTCGTGGTGTATCGGCCACCAGCTGGTAAAAAGCAAGAATTCCTTGACTACATAGATACTCTCTTACAAAAGCTACACACAATGTGCATGCCTTTTTAAATTATCGGTGACATCAACGTTAATATGCTAGGCGATTCTCTCTCCCAGCTCTAAACAACTTCAGTCAGTTTTGAAATCATACGCATGTGCAAACACGATAACAAGACCTAGTCGCATATCGGAAAGGTCTTCGACGCTGCTTGATATAAGTGTCACAAATCTTCCAAGCAGGAAATGTATTTCAGGGTTACTGTCATACGATGTAAGTGACCACCTACCCATATTTTCTCTTTCATCATTATCTTCAACATAAAATAAAAAGCAGATCGTGGAACAATATCGCAAAATAAATAATAGCGCACTAAAGCAATTCCGAACTGAAGTTGCTTCGATGACCTGGAATATAGTGTGCGCAGAAAGGGATACAAACCGAGCTTCCAATCTTCTTCTTGAGCAACTTAAGAGCATATATGACCACGCCTTTCCTTTAATGAAAAAGCCTTCGAGGAAGAAGATACGCAAGTCGTGGATTAACAACGCACTGAACGACCGAATACAAGGAAAAAACAAAATGTATCACACGCATGTAAAATATCGCGATTTATCACTTCTTGAAGGCTACAAAAAGTTCCGCAATAAGCTAAATGCTGACATCAAACGAGCCAGGATATCATATTATCAATACACATTTGAAAAAATCTACGATAATCCCAGGAAAATGTGGAGTGAGGTAAATAACTTAGCTGAGCGTAACAAAAAAGGTTATGTTAATATCACTGATCACTCGCTCTTTCTTACTCCGGTTACACTTTGTGAAGTTAAAAAATAATCTGTAAAATACGTGACAATGTTGCTGCAGGTGTTGACGAAATAGCAGCCAGCCCGATAAAACATGTAGCGTCACTAATTTCACACCCTCTTTCATACATCATTAACACTATGTTAGAAACCGGCATTTTTTCTTCAGAACTAGAAATAGCCCGCGTGGGTCCTATTCATAAAGGGGGTGCCAAAATGTATTATCGAACTACTGCCCCATATCGGTTCTACCGGTACTCTCCAAAGTTTTTGAAGGAATAATACACTCCCGACTTGAATGCTTTTTCACTAAGCACCTGATAATCAATAAAGCACAGTATGGGCTTCAAAGACGTAAGTCTACGGAGTCGGCGCTATTAGATACGAAAGAGGAGATATTAAAAAACATGGAAAACAGAACCTACACCATAGGTATTTTCATTGACTTGAAGAAGGCCTTTGACACAGTCAAACATGATATTCTGATATCCAAGTTGCATGATTATGGTGTAAGGGGCGTGGCAGCTAAACTAATAAAAAGTTTTATCTTACCGAAAAAAACAATATGTTAAGGTGGGTAACCTTGTTTCCCCAATGAAAACTGTAAAAAATTGTGTACCGCAGGGTTCAATCCTTGAACCGTTACTATTTATAACATATATTAACGATCTGTGTGACATTCCACGATCCCCAAAATTAATCATTTACGCTGACGACATTAACATATTTTTTACAGGTAGAATACTCATGCACCTTGAAACTGAAGTAAATGATTACTTACTCAAATTAGAAAAAATGGCTTCATCAAAATAAGCTCATGCTTAATATATCTAAAAGTAAACACATAGTATTCCAGCCTATCAACAAGCCCTACGAGGACGACATTAACACCTTTTTCAAAAAGCAGAGGCTGGAGCAGGATAAATCACAAAAATTCCTTGGAGTGTGGTTCCAAGAAAATTTGTCTTGGAATACTTATGTTGATAATATCGCATGCGAACTAAGTAAGACTGTTGGGTGTATATTTAAAATAAATCCACTTATACCAATTTGGCAAAAAAAAGATATACTACGCTCTTTTTTATTCGCGTTTGAATTATAGTATGCTAGTATGGGGCACTACAAGTGAGAAGAATTTAAATAAACTAGAAGTCTTACAGAAAAAAGTTCTCCGCCTATTCGATGATTATTATGGCAACCCAGATGGATGCCTAGCGGTCCACTATTTATAAAACATGGTATACTCAAAGCAAAACAGGTGTATGAATACAAGCTATTACTTTACATTTATAAAAATAAACTCCACACTATTACGGCACAGGAAGGCGCACTCAAATAGCCGCTCCGTAGGCAACAAATTCGTATTCCTGCTACTAGGACTGAATATGGTAGAACCCTAATTGCATACCGTGCCCCACAGCTTATAAATCATTTAGGTGAGCAATTAAATTTTAACCTCTCATTAACGCAATTCAAATATCACATAAAACATCTCCTCATTAATTGAGTAAAGTAAACATTATGTTTCCAATAAACTTCTGGCTAGGTTCCACATATACACTCACCTTTAGATACAAAACGCGTGGATATACAGTAGTATGTATGTACATATGGGCAGATGTATGTATGAATATATGAGTGTATTATATGAATATATCAATATGTAAGTATGTGTCTTTTCGGATATGTAATGAAAAGAGCCTCGATGTCTGATTCTGTGTGTCTATGCAGCCTTTTTTGTATTTATACGTCTCCTATTTTTGCTTTTATGCTATTTCTGTGTTCTCTTATTATGCTGCTCCTTGTATTGTTATACATATTATTCAATGTAGCACTGTTTGCTGAACTTTTATCATTTCGCGTAACGAAGCCACGTCAGGCCGAATGGCCTTTAGCTTCGCTTCGTTTTTCTGAATCTCGCCAGACATAAAATCTGTTCATTCATTATTAGGTTCGTTTGGCTTGTAGTACGTATACTTTTAGGGGCAAAGCTTCCTATGACGTGACTTGTGCGTCCCCCGTCGTCGTTGTGCGTAAACGCTGGTGGTACATACCCGAGAGAGAGGGTATGTGCCACCAAGATAGACGGGTATCTGCCACAAGGGAAGGAGAAAGACGATCGCGATGAAAAGGTGCGAGATGGTGGTACTTGCAGTGCTCACTAGATGAACGGACGGACGCGTGGATGAACATACAGACAAGCAGACGGACGGATAGATAGACGCGCGGATGGACGGACGGCCGGAACGCAGGGACGGATGCACGAACAGGCGGATGGACGCACGGATGGACGCACGGATGAACGCGCGGACGGACGGAATCAAGAACGAATGGACGGATGGAAGCGCGGACGTACTAATTGACGCTTCGGCCCCCTCATCATCGTTTACTCCGTGGATATGCCGTGATTGTTTAACGTTATGATGTTACTGGAATACTTGATTGAATTTGCCTTAATTTTTGGTTACTGGAACCTTACCGCATCACGAATGTTTAGCCGCTAATACGTAAACGTTTACTTACGTACGTAAATGTATACCTTTACGTTAGCGCAAAGCACTAAATGTTGATAACTGCGTTCAAATTGTATTTATTTTAGATCAGATTGAATCAAAGCTGCGGTTAAATCATAATAAGTTTTAAGTGTGTAGTACAGTGTACCGGTATGCGCATATGATGGTAGGAATGCGGGACCGGACGATGGTTCTGACATCTTGTGACGCTTCGTGTAACCACATTCACGTACACGCTATCCGCATTGCAATAAAAAAAAAATTTAAATCTCCCAATGTCACCTGAGAACAAAGTACAAACCAGGTTTTTGAAGATACAAATTGGTTGAAATATTATTAAGTGATTATATTGAGCAAATTACTAAACTATTTCATTCACCCCCTTTACACAATGACTGTACTTCAAGGCAAGCTTCTGTTACCACTGCATCATGGTATTCACGGAAAGGGAGCAACGTCTTTATTAATCATACAAACAGTTGGTGTCCTCAAATTGTACTCTACATTGTATCCAATAAAGTTTGCTGAAATGTTTGACGTCTGGTTGAGCAGGAAATAATCTTTTGTTGCTAGCTTGAGTTGTGCAAGCGGCTCATTTTTTTTTTCATTTTCATGCCAACATATCGTTATGACGGAAATATAAGTGAACGAAACAGCTGTCGGATGCACCTGTAGCGCACCAAATTGTGAAGATAGCTACGAAGAAATCCCTACGAATTTATCAAGAAAAAAAAACTCCTCAGTTGACCAAACAATTTGTTCGATTGAAGGGTTCGAATGCGGCAGCAGAAGCCTCAATAATGCATTGGCTCTGGTTTCGAAGAGAGGAAGTGGACATTTTTTTTTTCATAAACTGAGAAGCTTACTTCATTGACGTCGCTGTGGATTTTAGTTTAGTGTCATACGACAGGATGCATGGCAACTTCTCCCTCTCGCTCCAAAATGTTTACGTGAAAGCTCAGTCCTTCACAGTGAACTAAACGGAGCTACAAGTTGCTGGCGTTATCTGCGTGAGGCCCACCTTTAGCCATGGGGAATCCGGCGAAGGCTCTCGGCACTGTGAGGCTGCTGAATTGGCCCAGGAAGATCTCGAGGTGCACCATGGGAAACGCGACGACGACCATTAGGAACACGTACACCACGATGAACACCACTGGGAATGAGTGAGATGCATGTTCCTTTAGGTGCATGAGAGAGATGTGAGTGTACGTTGAGCAACTCCTGGCTCTCAAGACCATATGCGTGCAAGTGATATGCAAGGGCACATGCGTGCAAGGCAACAAAGGCCTTTTCATGCATAAATGCATGGGCGTAGCCGGAGACAAGTGGCATTCTTCGCTCCCTTCAGAACATTCGCACTTTGTGTGTACATGTACAGGAGGGGACAAAAGTTCCCAGGTCACGCTCCCTTAAAATACATAGAATAGTGGCCTGCGAACCTTTGATCCTTCCTGTACGTTGCCAGAAACACACGCACATTCCATACATATATGTAGTGACCTTAGATACCTCCCGAAGAAAGATCTTGGATACGCAAACGTGATATATCATGGCACATAAGTACATAATTAGGCATTAGGGTTTAACATCTCGAAACTATGGCTTACGAAAATAACCATGCAGTAGAGCCTTCAAAATAATGCTAAATTAGCTTGTATTTGTTCCTCACCTGCACTTAAAGTGGTGTACAAGCGCCATATACTAGTATCATCATCATCAGCCTGACTACGTTCACTGCAGGACAAAGGCCTCTCCCATGTTTCGCCAGTTAGCCCGGTCCTGTGCTTGCTGCTGCCAATTTATACCTGCAAACTTCTTAATCTCAGCTGCCCACCTAACCTTCTGTCCCCCCCTAACTCGCTTGCCTTCTCTGGGAATCCAGTTAGTTACCCTTAATGACCAGCGATTATCCTGTCTACGCGCTACATGTCCGGCCCATGTCCATTTCTTCTTCTTGATTTCAGCTATGATATCCTTAATCCCCGTTTGTTCCCTAATCCACTCTGCTCTCTTCTTGTCTCTTAAGGTTACACCTACCATTTTTCTTTCCATTGCTCGCTGCGTCGTCCTCAATTTAATCTGAACCCTCTTTGTAAGTCTCCAGGTTTCTGCTCCGTAGCTAAGTACCGGCAAGATACTGCTGTTATATACCTTCCTCTTGAGGGATAGTGGTAATCTACCTGTCATAATTTGAGAGTGCTTGCCAAATGTGCTCCACCCCATTCTTATTCTTCTAGTTACTTTAATCTCGTGGTTCGGCTCCGTGGTTATTACCTGCCCTAAGTAGACGTAGTGTTTTACAACTTGAAGTGCACTAATACCTATCTCGAAGCGCTGCTCTTCTCCGAGGTTGTTGTACATTACTTTCGTTTTCTGCAGATTAGTATTAAGACCCACCTTTCTGCTCTCATTGTCTAACTCCGTAATCATGACTTGCAATTCGTCCCCTGAGTTACTCAGCAATTCAATGTCATCGGCAAAGCGCAGGTTACTAAGGTACTCTCCATTAACTCTTATCCCTAACTTTTCCCATTCTAGGCTTCTGAAAACCTCCTGTAAGCACGCGGTAAATAGCAGTGGGGAGATAGTGTCCCCTGCCTTACACCCTTCTTGATTGGTATTCTGTTGCTTTCTTTATGAAGCACTATGGTAGCAGTTGATCCCCTGTAGATTTTATCCAGGATGTTTATATATACTTCATCGACGCCCTGATTCCGCAGTGTCTGCATGACGGCTGATATTTGAAAAATCAATTAGCTAGCACTGAGAGGGAAAGTACAGGAATTCAGAGTCTCGCTTCAGAACAGGTACACGGCTCTTAGTGAGGAAACCAACCTTAGCGTAGATACAATGAATGATAATTTGACGAGTATCATTACGGAGTGTGCAGTGGAAGTTGGAGGCAGGGTAGTTAGACAAGACACTGGCAAGCTTTCCCAGGAAACGAAGAATCTCATTAAGAAGCGTCAAATCATGAAAGTTTCAACTACAACAGACAAAATAGAACTGGCAGAGCTTTCGAAGCTGATTAATAGACGTAAGGTATCCGATGTAAGAAGGTACAACATGGAGAGAATTGAACACGCTCTGAAAAACGGAGGAAGCGTCAAAGCAGTGAAGAGGAAACTTGGGATAGGCAAAAATCGGATGTATGCACTAAGGGACAAAGAAGGCAAAGTAACTACCAATATGAATAGGATAGTTAAAATAGCGGAGGAGTTTTACAGAGATCTGTACAGTAGCCGGGACAACCACGACTTTAATACTTTAAGAACTAGCAGTAACCCAGATGACACCCCACCGGTAATGATAGAAGCAGTGAGAAAAGCTTTGGAGAGCATGCAAAGAGGCAGAGCTGCTGGTGAGGATCACGTAACATCCGATCTGCTGAAATATGGAGGACAGATTGTGTTAGAAAAACTAGCCACCCTGTTTACGAGGTGTCTCCTGACGGGAAGAGTACCAGAGTCTTGGAAGAACGCTAACATCATCTTAATACATAAGAAAGGAGATGACAAGGACTTGAAAAATTACAGGCCGATTAGCTTGCTCTCTGTAGTATACAAGCTATTTACAAAAGTAATTGCTAACGGAGTGAAGAAAACAATAGAATTCAATCAACCAAAGGAACAAGCCGGATTTCGAACAGGCTACTCATTAATCGACCACATTTGTACTATCAATCAGGTAATAGAGAAATGCTCAGAAAATAACCAACCACTATACATAGCCTTCATAGATTACGAGAAGGCGTTTAATTCAGTAGAAATACTAGTATACCATCCCCTTAAACTTAGCAGCTCAATTAAACTTAGCTGCTCAATGCCACGACTGCTAAGTCATATAGAAAGGCCTGGAAATTACTAGTACGTCAGCGACTACTCAGCGTCTATAGTTTAAGCCTGATAAACCTGCGTGCTCAAGGTCACATTTTTACTGTAAGTGCAGATGCCATCAAAAAGTGATAAACCGGAGAAATCGGAGAGCCTACCATCAAAATTACATTCTTTTACAATTTTTCCAGACATAATGTTTTGGTGCATTTTTAAGCAGAAATACAGTTATACAAGCCAGTTGACACTAGGAATATGATTCCGCGGTTTAGCCTACAATACATTGCAAGAGTCAGATAAACGAACTTGCTAGCTATAGTGGCATTTCATATCGGAATAAGGCATCAATCGGTGACACAATAAATTTTCGCAGTTAGGCGGTCATCTCCCATCACATGCACTTTTCACTGCGTTGATTCACAAGCCGTTAGCTTAGATAAAACTTTCGCATTAAGCTCGCCACCTGTCTTCCAAGGTGCATTTGGGGAAGGGGCGTTTCTGTAGTAATGATTGCCGTAATTACACGGAGGGAAACCATGCTGCATGCCGGGGTAAGTGGGAGCGGGAGGGGGGGGGGGGGAATGTTGATTCCAGATTAATATCGTTCACTAGTGATCATCTTTTAGTTGGCGCAACCAAGGAGGCGAGCAAAGTTCCCGAGTTCCTGAGTAGAGTTCATGCGCAGGACCCAATCTGAAAGCGCTTAGACGCGTCATGTCAGCCTTGCACTTACCTATAGAGCCTTTGCTGTTGGAAAAGCTCTGCCAACCTTACACTCCCTCAGTACGCACACTCAAGTTTTCACAAACTCAACTGGTATCAGCTTTGGACTCATGGAGAACAGCCTGCGCGTCGTTATAGCTATATACCTCAATGCAGCCATTTCCCTGATCAGAACATTACACGTGGCAAGCGATGGCAACCCTCGACGACGCCCAAGGCCAACTGGACGACTTTAATCGACTGCGAACTTACAGCCTCCGTTGTGGTACACGACGTACGGGAACCTCAGCATGTTGGACAGGCCGATGCACATGCCGACCGTGGCGAACAAGAATTCGTTCGGGCTCTGCCACTGCTCTCTGGGGGACGTCGTCATGATTGCTGCAGCCACGTACGGTAGCTCTTCTTCTTCTTCCTCACCACGGGCAGCAGCACGCACTGCATGCTTGCTTGCTTGTGCCTATGTTTTGGCTCGTACCAACTATGGTTGACTGGCCATTAAATTGGTGGTTATTATAATGGTGAAAAGGAAATACAAACTTGAGATCAAGGAAAATGAATTATTTGCTCACATAGAGAACAAAAAAAAACTGAACAGTCATAAAGGCTACGTACGAATGATGTAAGTACAGAACTATTTAATGAAAAGAATAAATAAATTAGGACACTAAGGTACTACATTATGATTAGGCATAACATAGCAAGTAAGCTTCATTGTGTTTTCAAGAAATTGGTCGATGGCTATGCAGATGCCCCGATTGCTATGGCCCAGCGAAGAAGCCCCAAGAGGAAGGATATTTTAAGAGTAAGAGTAATTATTAATTTTCTGAATAACATTACTAAATGGTTTTTCTATGGCTTGTGAAACTTCGATTGGCAAGTAGAAAATCATCAAGGTTTTCAGGCTCTCGACAGCAAAATCAAAACGGAGACGTCTCCTGACCCAACTTGTATGAATAAAGAGGCGGAATGCGGCATCAAAATTTTGCGAAACACACTTCAAATTTTTCAAATTTGCCAGTGGGGCACCAGTCATTATTCCAAGCAAAAGAAGACAATTGTATCCTTGAACTGGTAAGGTAGTTTTAATGAAATCCCGAAGTAACCGATACTCATGAAATCGAGATTCAGTAAGAGAAACAATATCGGGCAGTACTGTGGATACTACAGGACCCCCTAGGGACCACCGCGCTAAAGCGTCAGCCATTTAGTTTATAAATTTGCCTCAGTGACCTGGAACCCATACCGACCACACTGTATTCAAGTTTTCAGTAAATAAGGAAGCGAGAATATTTTTTATGAAAGACTTGGAAAGAGAAGCTGAAATAGTAGATTTACATACGGGGAGCGAATCGTTGATTGTAACAACTGCCGCAGAACTTTAGGGGTCAGTGTTGTCGTATGCTGTCATCGCTTGGTGTAACGCAAGCAAAACCACGTAGCTTAGATTGGTTTTGCTTTGTCGCCTAGAAGAATTCAGCTCATGCCTACAAGGAGCATTGACCATACCGTCAATTATGAAAAATTACAAGGCTATGCGAGAATAAAAAGCGAAGAAAAGGAAATTTATTTTAAATAAAATGTAAAAGTAAAAGTATTCAAAAAGCCAGAGATAAAAGATAGAAAAACAGTGCAATAGTATTGTTTCCGTCAGGCAGTACCACAAGCTACGTAAAATTTCGGTTGCTTGAATGAATTCATGTGGCGCAGATAAGCACTGTGGCCTGTACTAAACTGACTCCAAATGATAACAGGTTAACAATAACTGGCACTAAACAACAGGTTAAAATATAACTAAATTGAAACGATTACAGGATAACAATAATTGGCTCCAAATGACTGGTTAAATGGTAATGGGGTCTGAATATAAGGGGTTACCAAGAACTGGCTCCAAATGACTGGTTAAGCGATAACGTCCAAATGATAACGGAGTACCAATAACTGGCTCCAAATAACAGGTTAAACGACAAATGACTTCAAATGATAACAACCGAACAAGAAGTGGTTACAAATAACAAGTTACACAGTAAGTGACCCCGAACGATAACAGGTTAGCTAGAACTGGCTTCTAATAACAAGTTATAGGTATTAAATATTGATCCCAGCCAACCTGTGGCATTTCAAGAAATGTTCGGCCGAGTGAGAGAATAAAGTGATCTATTGGTTATGGTAAACTGCACATAGATTCAAGAAGTCAAATTTGTGAAGGCAATAATTTAACCGGGGAATTGGACAGTGAGATTTTGTGAAGAGAGAACATTTATTTTTTTCAAAAAAAGGTGGTTCATCGCGGGTGGGGTCCTTCTTCCATGGCTCCACTGGTTATAGCAGCTCGGCGTGCCTGACCTCGGCTCGCCAGTTGGCTTCCCAGAGTCTGGTCAGTCAGTCGCGCCTCCCACGGCCACGTATGTATTGGGTGCGTACGTCCTATGTCGACTGTGACAGCTCGCCCTGGACAGCTGCAGGTTATGTGTGTTAGAGTAGGAGTGTCACAGGAATGCGTTGGGATATCTCACTGGATACATGATGTGAAGCTTACGCAGGTTTGGGAATATGTTAGCCTGTAGGCGGCGCTAATCCCAAGCTTGATGTCTATCGAAGTCCTTGTGAAGAGGTGTCCTGATGCTGCTATCTAACCTTTGTTTGTCTAATATTTCACGCCGTGTCACCCCTTCATCTGTATCCTCTTCAGTGGTGGGTGCTCGTGGGGCTTGGTCGCTGAGTACTCGAGCTTGGCTATGAACTAGTTCATTGCCATTTTGACCCGTATAGGCCGGATACCAGACTAACCCATGGTCAAAAAGGAGTTCGCTTCCCAACAGCTTGATGACCCTTGTTGGTAATATTCCCTTGAGGTACATGCGACATGCTGCTTGAGAGTCTGAGAACACGTAAGCAGAGATATCCTGTTGGTCTGCAATTCGAATGGCGAGAGCGATGGCAGTTGCCTCGGCTGACGCGGAGGATGAGGTACGTATTGAGGCAGAGTTGACAAGTTTACCCCGGGTTACTACAGCGAGAGCGAAAGCGTGAGATTGCCCTTGCTGCTTAGGCTAGGAACTGACGTCTGTATAATAAACGTCAGGACGATTCTCCAGTCCCTGTAACCTCTGTATTCGAGCTTTTCGGCGTCCTATATGGTGGTACGGATGCATATTTTGAGGGATGAGCTGCGTCATGATGCACTGTCTGAGATTTTGTGAGAGTAGGTTGGTGGCTTCAGAACAATATTGCAGTGAGATAGGATATCCGAGTCCTTGTCAGAGAAATTTGCCCTGTGGTGTGCCACAGAGTCGTTCTCGCTGGGAAATGAGTGTGGCAGCTGCCAACTCCTCGAAGGTATTATGCACCCCCCCCACTTCCAGCAGGTGCTGTGTGCGTGCACTGGTACGTAGCCCAAAGGCTGCTTTAGTCGCAAGTCGAATTAATATGCCCCCGCTCTGTTTTCTGGGTTATCTGGTAAGGGAGAACGTAGGTAAGTCGACTCAAAACTAGTGCTTACACGAGCCTCAGTGTGTCGTGCTCAGTTATGCTGTTCCTCTGGAGATTCTTCTAATGAGACGTGTCAGTCTTTTTACTGTATACTTCATTTTATCTAAGGCTACCTTGAGATTCGTTGTTTCCTGGAAGTTCGCGCCGAGTATACGAAGGGTGCTAACTCCTCTGAGTTTCAACCCTCCTAAATAAAATGTTAGCTCAGGTGCTCGGCGAGACCGTGATTTATATGGGCGTATGGGAATGTATTTTAACTTCGTGGGTGTGCACTTCATCCCGGCTTTTTCTAAGTAGTCTTCTATTTTACTCAAGGCAGTTTGCAGGGTACCCTGATGATCTCCGTAGGAACTTTGTTTGGTCCAAAGGTTCATATCGTCTGCATAGAATGCAAAGCCAAGGTGGGTTCATGAGTGAGCATTATGGCCAGCTTGCGTAGCCTGACGGTAAAATGGAAGGGAGACACTACAGAGCCTTGTGGTGTGCCTCAATTAGGCATACCTAAGGGATTGGATTTGAGTAAACCCAAGGCGAGAGTTACAGTGCGATTGCGCCCAAAAGTTTGAACGTACTGGTAAGTATGTTGGACACATTAAATATCTTCCAATCCTTGCAATATACTTTCGAGAGAGATAGTGTCAAACGCTTTATGCACGCCCAATACCAAGACTGTTATCTAGACTACCTGAGGTGTATTCAGTATTTCCTACTTGAGTATAAAATATATGTCCTTTGCCTAGACCCTCTGCGGAAGCCGAACATCATATTTGAGGGAAATGCTGTTTTTCAACATACATATCAAGTCGCTGCAGCTCGACCTTTTTAAACAGCTTTCCCAGCCACGAAGTCCATGAAATAGGATGAAGGTTATGGATTGTTTTCGGTTGGTCTGGTTTTGATACAAGAATTATATTAGCCTTTTTTCATGGGGCAGGTAGTTCTCTTTCTGGTGTCCAAACTACGCTATTAAAGTAGTCTGTGAGATCTGGGTAATGTTCCCCTGTCAAGTTTCACATCATGACATTGGTGACACCATCAGGGCACGGGAAATCATTTCTTTATAAACTCTGAGCGTCTGAATAGCGCTCCTCGACCATCATGGGAGCGTCTAGAATAGAATATAGGGACCCGATTGGTCCGTGCTCCTGTTCTTTCAGCGGCTTGTTTTGTCAATGTGTTTATTTCGGTTCTCGTGCTAGCAGGATTAATCATTGCGCGCAAGATGGTCCAGATTTTTTTTTTGGTTCCTTAAGTGTCTTTGAGCAAATCACAGAAAGTTCGCCAATTGGTTTGTGTGAGCTATGCAGCGTAGGAGTTGGCTTCATCAGTTAGCTGGTAGATCCACTGTTTCAGTTTACGATTAAGCCTTTGACGTTTCCACCATTTAACAAGTCACCGTCAGGCCTCCCACATGTGTACTATAGGTGATTTTCCACAGCTGGTCTGTCCATTGTGGTTTGATACGTCTTGGTAAATTGAGCATGGGTTTCAGTGATGTACTCTCCCTACTCTAGCATTGTGGTGAGTTTGCGGAGTCTGTTCTCATGTGCCTCACGGTATTTCTTCCAGTCGGTTAACTTTGTTTTCTCCAGTGGCCGTCTAAGACAGGTGGAGCTGCATTGTATTTGTGTTATATAATGGTCACTCCCAGAACCTCGAGGAAACCGGTAGGGTTTCCCCGAGGTTATTCCATTGCACTTGCCGCATGTTGTCGGTAAATGCAATGTCTGGTATGGTGTCTTCTGTGACGCTCTTTCCCAGCCTGGTTGGTATATCCGGGGGTGTAAGCAACTCTAAATTGTATTGTTGGGTTGCCTCCAACAGCTTGGTCCCTTTCGGACGATCTACTTTATAGCCCCAGGTAGTGCTCCACGCTTTGAATTC